GCCATTTGGATGCCTTAATGATATCATAATCTAGTGATCTTGGGCTCGTTGGATTTGTTTTGTCGAGCCGCTCGATTTGACTATAAGCACATCACGTTTGGAAATTGTTTGGTAACCCAAATTGTAGATTGAAACCTCCAAAAATGCCTCAGACTCTTGATTTGGACCCATTTGGGCTGGGATTGAGTCTAATTTGGTGTCGTTGGGTTCGTATTTCCGATACAATCAGTTCAACAGTAAGTTTGCTGAAATCGGAGTTCATATGATTCCATAATTAATTTTTGAAGTCTCCAACTTGATTTTTGCCTCGAGATTCATGCCCGATCAAGATAATTTTTCGAGGATATATCAGTTGCCCCCCTATTTTCGGACGTTGAAGCTCCATAAGCCCGAAAATATATATTTGTACATTCTTCTGAATGCTGATTAGCAATTCAAAATAACAAATATTAGTCATAATTTATTTGTCTAAATTTAAAAATTATTTGTTAATTAGATAAATACTAATATTGGTGTTAAAAATAAAGTCATTCTTCATACTTGAACTCGGCATTCATTTTTAACTATGAATGTATTTATTTGTTTTCAAAATATATGATTTTATATGATATTAATAAGTGGATCAATTTAATTAGTATAGATAAAGTGAAAGAAAGCTTTGAATTACTTTTCTAATTCAATGTTTTACACTTTTTTATACATATTTTTTTATGAATTTACATGCATGCCGTTGATATTGCTTGGTTCACCTGGATCCAAAAGTAGGCTTCAACATATTATATTGTGTTTTATTAACTTATTGTTATAGTTGGGCATTAATTTTCATGCAAGCCATGAAATCTCCATGATTTACGTGCTTACATAAATTTGAAAATAATTCTAGATAATTGGATTGATCTTCCATCTACCCAATGGTGCCTTGATTTGAAGAAAATATTAATTAATATATATTTTTTAATAAAGAAATTGATTTTTTTGACTTTTAAAACATTGATGAAAATTTCTAGAAATTCATGGAGAATTCTAGATAACTTTTCGAATTCTTCTTTTATGTATTAAATGAAAACAATTAATGTTTGTCTGTTAAAATTTCCAAAATTATATTAAATTATTATTATTTTTAAATTTTAGAAATTTCTAGAAAGAATCTTTGTTTTCTCCTTAAGCAACTATAAATACCACATTAAGGGTAAGGAGAAAAGCACAATCTATTGTGTCGGTCCAAGCCCTCTCTTTGGATTGGTAGCTCGGGGATTGTCAGCGGCGATCAAAATCTTGCTCTCTTGTGCTGATCCAAGCATTCCTCTAGATTGATAGCTCGGGGAGCGTAGATGGCGATCAAAGCAAACATTGGTGGCAATCAAAGCTTGGTTCTCTTGTGTCAGTCCAAATTTTTCCTTGGATTGGTAGCTCATTGAATTTTGGTGGTGATCCAAACCTTGCCCTCTTGAGCCGGTTCTTTTGTGGATTTGTAGCTCGAAGGGCATTGATGACGATCAAAGCATTGCCCTCTTGTGCCGGTCCTTATGTGGATTGGTAGCTCGAAGGGCATTGATGGCGATCTATATTTTGCTTTCCTACAAAAGTTAGAAACGACCCGATGGTGGCTTCTGTTGGGGAGAGATTTGGCAATAACAATGCCTTGAAGGAGATTCTACTATAATCAATGGACAGGCTTAACCTTGTAATGTGTGGCGACTGGGTGGAAGTTCGATGGCGGTCAGGTGAAAGTCTGGCAGCGATCGGGTAGAAGTCCAATGGTTAGAGACTTAGTGGAAGTTTGACTACGATGGGTAGTCAGGAAGAAATCTGATGACATTCAAAGAACAAGCAAAAGTTTGGCGCTGATTAATGATTGGTTATTTGTCCGAGCATTGCTCGATGACGTTAACATGTATGGAAGAGGTCGAGAGAATCCATCAAGGATGGAAGAGGTCAAATCGAATCTCCCTGTGATCGATTATGCCTTTACTGGGAGGGGGCAAATGCCACGTGTATCCCAAAATAAAGAATGATCTATATTTAAATCATCACTACCTTTTTGAGGTCAAGATTATGACATTGCCCAAGGAGGAGAAATCCAGCTAGAGACTGTAAGTAGCTTGCAATTTAATGGAAGCATCCTTGCAATAGTTAAAAGCTTTATGAAAAATATTTTTCAGATACTATCGTAGATGTCAAAAGATTTGGAGGAATTTTCTTGGCCATGTTGCAGTCAAGGTTGCCCCCAAGTCAACATATGATTCCCCTGAAATTGATGCAACAAAGGTTGATGTCACAAAGTTGACTTGAATTACATATCGAGGTTGGAGCAAAAGTTACCCCCTAATCAAGGATCACTTTCGCACAAACGGCGCCAAACTGTTTTGTCCTGGAATATTCACGGCGGTAGAGAAATATAAAGTTTAACGTCTTAACATTGTATGAAGATCCAGCACACAAGCAGAAAAAAGAGAGGGTGTAGTGTTCATAAGAGACACCAAAGTTTTTACGTGGAAATCCCTGAAAATGGGGAAAAACCACGGGGCCTGACCCAGTTTGAATGAATCCACTAGTGCTTGCAATTGATTACAAATGAGGCCCTTCTTTAGGAGGAAGGTCTTGGCTCGATGTAGCAAATATGCATTATATAGAGTGTATTATATGGTAGGAGTTGGAATAATATGTATTGATATGTTCGTTTGGGCGGCATGACTATAGTCGGTGAGCGACGGAGGTCGGAAGGACAATAGTTGGCTATGGTCATTGTAAGGACCATAGTCGATAGGTAACTGGGGTCGGGAGGACCATATTTAGCGATAGTAGTCGGAAGGATCGTAGTCGGTGGATGACGAAGGTCGGGAGGACCGTAATAAGAGGAAAATGGAGGTACAAAAGATTGTAGTCATCATGTGACGGAGGTCGGGATGACCGTTGTTGGCACACAATGGAGGTCAGAAGGATCACAGTCGGCAGGTGACGAAGGTCGGGAGGATCGTAGTCGACAAGCGACGAAGGTCGGGAGATGAAAGTCAGGAGGACCGTAGTCGGCGGGGATTGTAGCCGGAAGGCGACGGAGGTCAGAAGGACCATAGTCGGCAGGGAGTGTAATCGGTAGGAGACGGAGGTCCGAAGGACCGTAATCGGCAGATGACGGAGGTCGGAAGGACCATAGTCGGATTACAGTGGTTAGGAGGACTGTAGTTAGCGGACTGGCCGAAGTCCTGCAGTGTTCGGAGGATCGGCGGATGTCCGTTGGTACCTGGAAAGAACTCTGGCTGTGGTCGGAAAAAATTCCAATGATGATCGGCGGACTAGCAGAAGTCTGACAATGGTCGGCGGGTGGGCAAAAGTCTGACAGCGGTCAATTGACGAGCGGAAGTCTAGCAGAGGTCAGCAAACTGGTGGAAGTCCAGTGGCGGTCGACGGACTGGCAGAAGTCCGTCGGTGTCAGCGGACTGGTGGAAGTCCGGTGGCGGTCGACGGACTAGCAGAAGTCCGTCGGTGGTCGGGAAGAACTCTGGCGGTGGTCGGGAGGAACTCCGACGGTGGTCGGGAGGAACTCCGGCGGTGGTCGATGGAAAGAGCTCCCAAACTCCTCCATTCCTTTCCTTCTTCTTCCTCCCTTAATGAGTAGAGTGGGGGCTATTTATAGTTTTTCAGAGTAGCATGGCTTGTAAATATGTGGAGGATCAAGGTCAAAATTGGAGTGCTTTGAATGGACGGCTGATATTGATCTCTTTGATCACGTACCATTTAATGATTATTTGGATACCTTAATGATATCAGAATTTAGTGATATTGAGCTCGTTGGATTTGTCTCGTCAATCTGCTCGATTTGACTATAAGCACGTCACATTTAGAAATTGTTTGGTAACCCAAATTGTAGATTGAAACCTCCAACAACACTTCAGACTCTTGATTTGGACCCATTTCAACTCGAATTGAGTCGAATTTGGTGTCGTTGGGTTTGTATTTCTGATACGATCAGTTCGATAATAAGTTTACTGAAATCAGAGTTCATATGATTCCAGAATTAATTTTTGAAGTCTCCAACTTGATTTTTGCCTCGAGATTCGTGCCCGATCAAAATAATTTTTCGAGGATATATCAGTTATAAATTAACATAAATAATTAATCTAATTTCATCCATTAAAATGACTTTATTTTAATACACAATAAAATGAGAAATACAAATAAATTTTTGAAGTGTTTGAAATTCACGTTTTAGTTCAATTTTGATGTATTTAAAAATTGTTAGATTTGATCAATTTTCTCATATAATGTACTTTCTCTATCATTGTTGTTGCCACCGCCACCACCGCCCTCCTACCATCGTTGGCCACTCGTTTTCGATCACCACTAATCATCTGGCACTGGCTGTCGATCATTACTTCCACTAACATGGCCATCTATCACTACCATTTACCACCACTATTGTTGAGCTTTATATCATATTTATTTTATTTCAAATAAAAATATCTATATTTATTTATACTCATCCAAATAATTCAATACTCTTCAAATATATTATAATTCTTTATACTACATTGCATGTTATTTTGAATTATTTTTCAACCAACAAAACAACACTCTAAATTTTTTTTTTAAAAAAAGAGCTTTATAATTTACAATGATTTGTGCACTATTTTCTTAATTTATTACAATTTCTCATTTAGGTACGTCACAAATATTTTTTATTTATGGATATGCATATGAAATATTATTTAAATAATATAGGAGTCATTTTAAGAAGAAGCAATTTAATTGGCACAATTAGTACAAGGAGCATGAAATAACTAAAGTTTAAATAGGAGCAAATTCATCAAATAATTTGACGTATTCAGAATGCGTCAAATAGTTCGACACATTCTAAATGCTCCAAACAGATTGATATATGGCAAAATTTTAGGAAGAAGCACGATTTGCGGCGTTATTAGGTGAAGAAGCGTGATTGGGAATTAATTTTAAAAGAAGCAATTACGCTATAAAGTACGGCGTATTGTAGAATGCGCTGAAATTACCTTGGGACTCCGGTTATCCTCAACGTCTACGATCTCACCCCGCTAAATGATTACTTATACTGGTGCAGTCTTGGCATTTTTCATTCGGGGATCGAAGGTGTGAATGTGCGAATTTCGTCTGCTGTTTGTTAGTTTTTTTCATATTCTTGTATTCTGGATAGATTCCGTTGGTTTTGTTATTCTAATTTGTTTTTTATCTTGTTGTGGGTATCCTTTCCTGAATAAAACATTAGATTTCGGACTATGCAGTTTCTGTGCAATTAGAACTTTGACATGAAGTTTCATTTAAACTGCACAACAAATGAGAACTAGAATTTATAAAAGAAAATATAATAGTATATGCTTGTAAATTATAATTTTTTGGGATAATGAACTGAATGGCATGATAATTTATAAATTTTTTGTAAAATCAAATCAAAATGTTGATTCGCACTAAAATAGTATAACATAGGAGGTGAGACAAGTAGAAACTGAAAATAATTACTATAGAAATAAAAAAAACAGACATTAGAAACTTGGTAAGTGAAAAAGTGTCCACTGAAGAAATGTTTTGTTGCCCCCATTCTAAAAAAAAGAACAAGAAGAAGAAATGCAAAAATTGTTTTACCAAAGTTGCAAAAATATGAAATATACGGCTAAAAGAAAAAGGCTGAATTGAAGGGATTTTTCTTTTTGTTCCATTACATAAAGAGCAAGGGAGATGGATGAAGCAAAAAAAGAAAGATTAAAATCATGATAGCTTTAACCTTTACGTATATTTCACAATATATCTAACAAAAGACCAGCAGAGAAAATAAAAGGGAATCTTTGCATTTGCATTGCGGAAGGCATTTTTCAATGGTTGGAGGATCTGCTATGATGCTTAATTGAAAAAGAAATGTGCGATGACATGCATCTGAATCCTTAACTAAAACCCCAAGATGTTGTTGATTGCCTCTCTAAGTATGAATCACAAAAACAATTGTTGCATTGTTGTAAACTTGTAATGATATGAGGATGTGAAATGCTTTTAGTCTTGCCTTTCAATGTTTATATGTTGCCCAATGATCAATATGTGGAAAAATCATGTTTTTGACTTTGACTAGTCTTGATGGACTTAACACTAAACTTTGGATGCTAATAGAACTACCATCTAATTGTTTGCTCCTACTCCCAGTTGTTTTTCAATATGTCATACCAACTTTGCTGTTCACTTAGGGATTCACCTCTTGCTAACTACTACTTTAAAACCCTTCAAATTAGGAGCAAGTAGTCAATTGTTATCTTATGAATGAGAATTAAGAAACAAAAAGGCGTTGAAATTCATACACAAAGGCGGTCTTATATATCATGAAATAGTTGGCATATATTGCAACAAAAAAATATATTTTATAAGAATCAGTTGTGGTGGAGTTGGGCATTCTTTCTAGCAACTGGTATCAAAGCCAAATTCACGATGAAGTTTTAGAATGAGATCTTTGATGTCTCAAAGAGTTTTTGGCCTTTGGAGAATTAATATGCTTGGTGTTTTAAACCAGGGGATTGTAAAGGCATTTATGACTCATGCAAATATGACTGAGATGATGAGGAAACATGACAATGATAGATCAGAAAGCTCTTTCAGCAATCAAATTATGTTTGGCGGTTGGGATCTTGATTGATGCATTGTAGGAAACAACCATGGAGGGGTTATGCTTTAAACTAGAGCTTTTATGGATGACTAAAAGTCTATTTAATAAAATTAATTAGAAGCAACAACTCAGTATGCTTCACATGCTAGAAGGTATGTTTATTAAATCTAATGAGTTTAATCCCATTATTCGAGATTTAATAAGTTATAATGTGACTGTTAATGATGTGGATAAAGTTTTGTTATTATTTATGCCCTTTATCTCTCTTATAAGTATTTACATAACACCATGCTGTATAGGAGAGAAACTTTTTACCTAAAGGATTCAAACTTTTGGTTCTTTTTAAAAATATAATTATTAAACTTGAGGGTGCATGAGATTAAAAGCTGACTTATAGATTATTGGTTAGGGGAGATCTTTTGAGAAGTGATTTACTTTTAATCATGGCAGGAGTAAGTCTTGAGTCAAGTACAAGGATGTATTTTGCTTTGATTGCAAGAAGAAACGATACATTAAGAGATTACCATGCATGGAAAAGGAAGGAGCAACATACATGTGATAAGCGAAAGTATGAAATGTCAGTGAATGCTAATGTGATAGGAAATTTATTAGATATAGATTAGTTGATTTTAGGATTTAAAATGCATTGCTCAATGGGCTCTTAACTTGTCTTTTTTCATATCATATGTTGTCATGACCCTTGCCTTTAGAGTTTAGCCTAACTAAGCAAAAGGAAGGATCAACGGACTTGTTTATATCATATGTTGTCTCAACTTGTTTATATTTGTCATGTATTGAAAAGAAAGGAGCAACGAATGTGTGACATGCATAAGGAGGACATTTCAACAAATGCTAATGTGATAGGAAATATATCATATATAGTACTATTTAAAATGAAATGATTAGCGGGTTCTTAACTCGACTTATTCGTATCATATATTGTCACGACCCTAGCTGTTGGTTAAACTAACCTTCTAAGATCAGCAATCCATTGTCTTAACTATAGGAACAAAGAATGTGATTATGAAGATTTTCAATGAAGTATTTAATAAGAAGCAACTGACACAATGTTTTTTCATAATATTATTTATACATAATTTGCTTATGTATATAGACGCAGATACAACTACATAAGATTTCAAATATTGCAAAGCATATTTACTTAAGAAAACATCCAAAAACTAAATATAGGTTTTTAATTTAAAATTTTCTATCTTACATCCCTTCTCTTGATTGTTGTGCGAATGAAAAATGTTAATAATAATAAATTAAGTTTACAATTTAGTAGGCAAAAAAATAATAATAATAAATAATAATAAAGTTTACAATTTAGTAGACAATTTCGCTTATTAAATATAACTATGATTTACTTATTCCAAGTTCAGTTTGGCAAATCATTATACCTAATTTTTTTATAATTTCTTTTTTTAGATGTCATGTTACACAAACTATTTTCCTAATTTTCTCTTTTTTATTAAAATTTTCTTTTTCTTTCTCATAAAAAAGCTTAAATACACTTGCATAATAATCCATGCATTATAATAGTATACATATATAATCATAGTCCATTGTATCACTAAGCCTCACTAGGCATGGTTGATGGGGACATCAGATCGTGGAAGGTTTATCAGAGACGTGGCCGCCGATCTACGACTACGATCGAGTATTTATATTTCTGAGTCATTTGTGTTATTTTATTATTCATGTATTTTCTTATTTGCTTAGATGTCATTTTGTTTTTCCCGTTGTACCCTCCTATGAAGGGATGTCGTATGTAAGACCAAGGGGCATTTGTGTCTTTTTGTTTTGAGTCCTTTGTATGAGGCTTTATTAGCCATCCTTATTTTCTTTTGAGGTTAATAAATGATTGCTTATTAAAAATTTTCTTCTCATATGAGTATTGAGAGCTTGAGAGTTCTAATGGAGAGAGTTCCCTAGGAGAGGGAGATCGTATCACCCACCAACCTTGGAGATAGCCGGGTTCATGGTTTTTTCTTTGTATTTCGGTTTCCCTCACCATCTCCCCTGTCGTCTTCATCATTTCAAACTCCACCCCAAATTCCCCATCTCCTCCCCTACAGCAAGCTCCACGAAATTCTCCCCACAGCCGCCGGCCACCTTCACCCGGCCCCCCCACTTGGCCACCGGCCACTTTCGCCTTTACCCCTTTTTTTTATTTTCCCCCTCTTATATTTATTTTCCTAATATGGATTAAATATAATTAGGATTATATTTTAATTCAAATCCAAGTAATTTGAATTTCAAAATATTTCCTAATATAAAAATCTATTTTAGGAAAGTCATTGACCTCAATCAACTCAATTTGTCATTGATTGGGATTTTAAAATTCCCTTTCATAATTTATAAATCCCAAACAAGTAAGCAATGAGTACTTGCCCAATCCCTCTCATCCATTAGTGCCGCCGGCCCCTCCCCTTTGGCTTAAGTTAGGAAATCTTTCCTAAACACCCACCCCTCTTTTCTTTATAAATATTTCCAAGATTATAACAGCCGAAATTTTCAAAAGGGATCAAGCATTAAATACTTCCCTGAAATCTGGTATAGGAATTAGGAAACTATCCCACCTTCACCTCCATATCCCGCCGCCCCTTCCCCTTATTGCTGGACATTTGAAATCTCTCCATAAGTATAGCAATTCACTTTGGAAAGATTGTCCAATCCTCCCTGCTGCTGGCCGAAATCCCCCATGCTCCTTTTTCTTAGGTTTTCTCTCCAAGCTCCCTCCCATCTACATGCCAACACCTGAAACTTATTTCAAGTTTTGAGTTGGGCTCTTTTCCCTACAAGATTGTACAGGAGAACTTATTTCTTTTCAACTAGTTTCAAGAGCTAAGAAGATTATACTTGCAACCATCTATGAATGGCGGATCCGGAAACTGATTACGGCATAACTTGGGACGAAGACGGCTACGTAGACATCCTACAATCTACTTTCTTCGACGTGAACCCAAGAGTTGATTTCACCGTCGAGGATTACTTGGAGCGCACATTGATATATTTGGTAGAGGCTATCGACGAACACTTCGAAGACATCGAGTGGAGGATCTGCACCAACCCTTGACGAAGGTTTCTCCTCTCCCGAGCATCTTATATCTTTTAGTCTAAACTCTCTTGGTTTGATTTGCAGTCACAGCTGACTCTCTCACCTTGCTCTTGCTTAAGCTTAGTAATCGTAGGATTTGAGTGTGCCTCGATGCATCATAATTCTCAATGTTAGATTAGGGATTATCTTGAAAGCTACTACTTTACGTTGTATTGTTTTCTTATTTATCTTGAAGTTTCCAAAGCTCTCACCATGTAATTAAGCCTAAGCGGATAACTCCTATTTGTTTTGATCCGTCGTTTTAAAATTGCTAGTAATCTTGTTCTAGTATTATTCTAATCACGAGCTGTGCAATATCTAAATGAACTCAGAATCATTTCATCTATGTAGTCCTGCATCAATGGTGGAACTTTCATAAACATAGCCTACCATATCACTAAGCATAGCAGGTCTTTTCATATTTGGACCCTCATCTTATCAGACAGCATGGGAGGACCCATATATAAAATATTGGTTATCCATGTCTTTTACCCAACATATCATACAATATAGTTGGATTTCCTTGTAAAGTGCTAATTATATATATTACTCGTGCAAATACATATCTACATTTTCTCTTAAAAAATATTTGCAAGGCTATAAAAATTCCTAATCTTCTGAAATTTTAATTTAGGAGAAACTTATAAATTTCATATAATTATAATCAATGTTTAAAATTGCGTATTCGGGTATTGAGGCGTTTTTCATTCGTGAGGTGAGGCGTAAGCCTCAAGTCGTTTTGAGGCGTAAGCCTCAAAATCAAAAGATTGCGTAAACATAAAATGATAAATTTTTTATATACTAATGAGTGAATAATATAAAACATAAAAAAATATAAGATATGAAGTGAAATCAAAATATCCCAATAAAAAGACAACATGAAATATAGCTCAACTCAAAATTATATCTTTCTCAAATCCCAGTATTCTTTTCATTAACATATAATTCCAATTTCCAAAAATAAATAGCACACATGACATATCACATAAGAACTCATAAGTCATTAGCACTGTCATTACTAAGGGGTTATTCATTGACATATCATTATGATGAACTGCTCTCTCCTTTCCTCCTCTCCTATAGAGTCCAATGTCGGGCATTTACTCAAGATTTATGTAAGTTTTAATATATATAGCGTGGGTGTAAGCTCATGCCAGTGAGGCGAGGTGGGCCTCAAGGCGGGCCTCAAGGCGGGCCTCAACCAAGTTGAGGTGCAAGCCTCATAAAAAAGAACTCGAGGCGTAAGCATCGAGGCGTTTTTTACTGGAATGCGCAAAGGCGGGCCTTAAGGCGAGCCTCTATTGCACAATTTTAAACCATGATTATAATCTTTAAAATCAAATTTTATACCTCATAAAATTTCATCCAACTAAAGACTTTGTCAGTTTTAATTAATGAATATTCTTCTTTTTTCTTTATATATATATATATATATATATATATTGGCTTTGCAAGAGAATATATCCTAGTGTATGTTTTTTGTTGATGATATTCTTGTTGTTGATAAGACTAGAGAGGGAGTTGAAGAAAAACTTGAATTATGACGATCAATCTTAGAGTTTAAAGGTTTTCGTTTGGGTAAATCTAAAGCTGAATACATAGAGTGAAATATTAGTAGTAATAAATCTAATTGGAAGACTGACTTTGGGCTATCAAGTCATTCAAAAAAGTACACATTTTAGATATCCCAAGTCTATTATTCAAAGCGATTGTGAAATAGATAGGGATATTATTAGTAGAATTAAGTTAGACAGTTGAAGTGGAGGAATGCATCAGGCCAGTTATGTGATAGAAAAGTACCCATGAAATTTAAGAGAACATTTTATAAGATGGTGGTGAGACCTGCAATGTTTTATGGCACATAATGTTGGCTATTAAAAGAGAAGCAAATATTCAACTTAAGTGTTGCACGGATGAGGATGCTCAGGTGGATGAGTGGTTTTACACTTAGAGACAATGCGAAACGAGTATATACGTAAGGTTAGAGTAGCTCTAATGACAGATAAGATTAGAGACAGTCGCCTTAGATGACTTCGTCACATAAAATGCCAGCCTTTCAATGACCCAATGAAGAGAATATATTTATTAGATTTGACCTATTTTAAGAAAGATAGAGATAGACTTAAAAGACTTGGTTAGAAAGTATTATAAATGACATTTTCTATTAGATTTAAATGAGAATTTCTCTTAATATTGCACATCGAAAAAAAAAAATAAACTATTCATATTAGTCGACCTAACATAGTGTGATAAAAGCTTGATGTTGTTGTTGTTGTTTATATACATATACGAGCCTTAAGGAGATACCTTCTTGGTACAAGTTTGGATCGAACAACAATGGGATAGGTCTACAATACATAAAAAGTTTGGACAATCAATTATGTTGAAGTTTTTGGGTTAAATTTAAACATCTGTATAATTTTCTAGTAAAAATGAACCTGCATATCTTATGATTTAGCTTGTTGCAATTAAAAATTAACATGAATTTTTATTTTATAAATATCTTCAAAATCACTTCATATTTATTATTTGTCATTGTAATTAGAAGAAAAAGATAATCAACAAAAAAGAAGTTTAAAAACAGTGCAATGCAAATAATAATTTAGTAAATTAAAAATTTTAGTCACATCATCCTGCACTAATACTTAAATGAAATATGAGACGTTTATAATTATTAAAAAAATGTTTAAAATTACAAAATATTTAAATAAAAAATATAAATTAGCACAATAAATGACTTTGTATCTCATTGAAAAATTTGGACAATGAAATTAATAATCTACCTAAAAGAAAATTAGGAAAATTAAAAGATAATAGAACGTCGGAACACTGCAAAATTTTTTTATTTTCTCGCGTGTGCCTTCTCCCTAAACTCCAGTGCTATTTATGACACCAGAATTAACAGTTCCACACAGTGTGGCACATTTATTTAGTAACTTGTGAGTTTGTATTTTTTTCTCCCATTAGTCAACAGTTTCATTTTAGCTTCAAAAAATAAAAAGAAAATTTGCGTTGTCGGCTAAAAATACAATAAATTTGGTTGTTCATTAGAAAAAACATTTTTGTTTTGCATTTTAATGAAAATGCAAATTTTTAAGCGTTTTTGCTCCTTATTAAATTTCTCTCTAATCATGTTCCTTTTGCCTAATTAAGCTACTTGTTAAAATTTTATGGAAATAATATGCCACTCCTTTTAATTTTCATGACAGCTGTGACATAATAGAATGTTAATTTGGTGTTATTTGGTTCGTCCTGTATCAGTTCATGGCTCAGAGTATGGGTTTGGGGCTCATGATATTCCTACAAGTGGTGTATTTAAGTTTGAACCCCGCAACTGCCCTGATTTTGTGTACAGATGCTCCATTCTTTTAGGCTTTACTAACATGCCTCCCTCTGCGTTTCGGACATTCCTGGAATCCATGGTTTCAGAATATTATGGAGATACTTATCACCTAATCTCCAAAAACTGCAACCACTTTACAGAAGATATATGTTTTAGGTTAACTGGGAAGCATATTCCAGGATGGATCAACCGGCTTGCTCGAATAGGTATTAGTATTTTCTTACCGAATGTTGTTATTATGTCATGTCATACCTGCATTATCTTTTCTACTCTGGAAACATTCTTTTAATAACAGATATGCGGCATATGCCTGGCTACTCAGTTTGAACCAGTAAGCTTTATAGTGTGACTATGACAATGTGCCTTTTGGAATTTGGCATATTGATATCTTCTCTTAGCATTGATGAGGCGATCTATATCTACCGTACCTCACAAATTATTGTACACCTAGTAGAACCATGATACGAAAGTTAACATATCAAGGGTTTCAGGGATGGTACTGGTTTGCAAGTTATTTCTACTAACATTTTGAGTGCGTTTGCAGTAAATTAAATATTTATTATGAGTTAAAACTTATGCTCGTGTTTACTTTGGATGTTCTAAATATTCACTTGGGTTATTAAAAATCTCTGTCCAGTCAGGCATAAGTTTTGATACAAAGTATTGATCTATTGAATCTTAGTATGATTTGGTTCAGTTTGCTAAGCTGATGCTTGAATATGTCTGAATTAGCTCGATTGATCTCCAGTCATACTTCAAAGGGTCATTGAAAGTACATACTGTCAGACATGTCTTATCTATCCCTAAATGATTCCTGAACCGACTCAGGCCAAATTGGCTCAACTAGAATGGTTTTCCTCCTTGCATGATCTCCTACCAGGGAGGTGGTGGAACACCCCCACATCCTATGGGCAATATGGAAGCACATTGGTGGCCAGCTTGCCCTTGTTTGTTGATTGTTAATCAAAGTAATTTAGCCCCTCTCCAAATTTACTTTGATCATCTTGGTCTCTTTTTCACGTCATATATTTAAAAATGCTCCTCTCTATAAGAAGATGAGTTATGTATCTCCTGAGTAATGATGCTTGTTGTCACTTTATTAAGCAAGTATCATGCTTCATCGGAATTTCCCTTTTGATTTTATAAATGATTTTCAGTGTCCTGTATGCCATGCAACTCAGCAATCTGATGCGGGCCACCGCCGACCACCGCCGACGCCGACCGGCAAAGGGAGGGCCGGCGACCCCGCGGCGCGCGGAAGCGCCGCGGCCGTTCGACCGCCGAAGCAGGGACGCGGGATGGGCGCAGCGGAGCGGGAGGGCCCGAGCGGCTTGAGCGAACCGGTCCATTTTCTTGACCGGTTTTGGCTCAGGTCTAGCCTTGAGCCGGGCGTTCAGCTTGGGCAGCCCACTAGTGGGTTTGGTTGGGTCCTTTTTCTTGCTATATGTAGGGATTAAGGGGGGATTTCTTAAGGGTTATGCATTTGGAGTTTTCTCTTAGCCTCTTAGTTTCCTTCTCTTATTTTTCTAGGGTTTGTAGTGGGAGACGCTTGTCCTTCTCGAAGTGGACAAATTGTATCTTTCTTTTGTGTTGAACTTGCTTCCCTTTCAATACTAAATGGATTCCCTTCTCTTTTTTATAATTTTGAGAGTTTTTCCTTCAAAGTTTTGGAGGGATTGTGCCCTAATCCGAAAATCATTAAAAAGTGCACAACTCTAAGGATTTTACCATGGAAATATCTTTGCTTTTGATCTTGTTTTGTTCCTCTCATGCTCATTTGAGAGAAATTAGGGCAAAATCGAATTGGTGAAACCCTAGGGCGTATCACAAATCCTATCCTTTGGTTTCTACATCATGCAATTAAATGCCAGTTGAGGCTCAGTGCTGGCTGTTTCAGTCAGATTCATCCCCGAACACAGGCGCAGGCAAGAAGGGAAGAGGGATATTGGGGTGTTTTTCCATAATTTGTTGATATGCATGATTTTCGAGGGGACTTGCCATGAGTCATTCTATACAATCGTCAGATTATGTTTCTGAAACTTTTAAATTGCCCTGTACAAACTTTCAAAATAGGCATGGTCCAAAAATACGAAATATGGTGGATGTGGATGTTTATATGCATCAATTTGCTTTCCTCTCTTGACGTCTATGCTCCTGTTATTCAGGAATTGGCTTTCTTCTCTCCCTTGCTAACTACTGCTCCTCGTCAAATGTTTTTCAATCAATTACCAAACAACTTTTTCTAAAAGATTGAGAATGAAAAGTTGAAGCTAAACACAAACTAATAGAGGTATTACCAGAACAATATTCATCAAGAAGAATTCTCAATGAGCTAGATTTGATGACAGACCAAAAGTATCAGAGATTCAGTTCAACAAAGAAAATCGGACGTTTATATTTGTGAGGTAATGCTTAGCAATGGTTAAAGTACATGCATATTACTGTCGAAATCCAAAATCTGCTATCTGCCCTAGTACCTTAACATAATGCATTACTGCAGCCCAGCCATTTTCTCCCCTCCAGCTACTACCTGCCTAAAAGGCAATCTGCCTCCAATCCAACTGTTGACCTGCTGTATAAAAAAAAAAAATAAATAAAATAAAATATCTCATACCTGTCCGGCCACGTTCGAGCGTTGAATTCAGTACGGTCGTCGCCGGCCCAAATCGCGCACATCCCGCACTTCGCACGTCGAAGTCGCCTCAACGCACGACCTCGTGTCGTTAAAGAGCCAAGGAAAAGAGGCCGAAGGCCTCTTTCCTCTCTTATTCCTCCGCTCTGATCTCTCCCCGACTCCTCCCTGCTGTTCGACTTCAACTCTTTCTCGACGACTTGCTCCCGCTCTTACCTCTCTCGCCTTCTACCCCTCTCTGTCGAATCGGAAGTTACGACATTTTGGTGGGAAGCAACAACGTGAGCTCGCTTGCAGTGAAGATAACTTTCTCCCTTGCGTGCGGCTCCTCTCCGACTCCTCCCCTCTATTCGGCTTCACTCCTTCGACGACTCGCCTTCCAGTCGGATCGAAGTTACGACAGTTTGATCGGGAGCAACTCGGGAGCTCGCTGGCTGCAGAGATAACTTTCTCCCTTTCGAGCAGCTTCTCCGACTCCTCGGCCGCCGACTTCGCTCCCATCGACGACCTTCTCTTCCAGTCGGATCGGGAAGTTACGACATTTTGATCGGAGCTAACCACGGGAGCTTGCCGTAAAGATAACTTTCTCCTTCGGCGCGCTCTTCTTCAGCTCCTCGTGACTGTTCGACCGTCCTTCAACGACATTTCCCTTCTTGAGGGACTGGAAGTCCGACATTTTGATCGGAAACAACAACGGGAGCTCACTGTGTGTGAAGGTAACTTTGTCCCTTTCGTGCGCTTCTCGGCCAAATCCCGTGCATCTGTCGAACCGAGAGAGAGAGAGGGAGAGAGATGTTTTATTATTATTATTATTATTTTATTATTTTAATTATAATTAACTTAATTAATTATATTTATTATTATTAATTATGTTTAAATTTAATTAAATGATTATAATTAATTTTTTAAAAAAAATTAATTATAATTAAATTTAATTGAAATTAAATTTAATTAATAATTCTTAATTATTATTAATTAATTATTATTTATTAAAGTTAATTAATATGAATTAATTATAATTAATTTAATTTAATTATAATTAATTATTTTTAATTAATTTTACTAAATGTAATTATTATTTTTAATTAATTATAATAAGTAAATATAATTAATTATGAATAATTATAATTAATTAAATTAAATTAAATATTAATATAAAAAATGCCTCCTTCCTTATTCGATACATGAGCCATCGTCGCCAGTCCGCCGACGACTCAAAGGTATAAAATTCTAACTTAAACCCCGTTTCTCGACGTTGCAGCGGATCGGAGAACCCATATACGCGCTCTTGTAGCACGGTAGAGGGAGCCGCGGTGCGAAGCATACGACGCAGGAGGGAGAGCCCTATACGCTCTTTGTAGGCGTGGTGGGGAGTCACTGCTGTTCTGCTTGCTGCCGACGGGTACTGCTGAAGGCCCCATAACACGCTCTTGTAGCGTGGTGGGATGAAATTTTGTACGGCCGCGGTATCG